GAATGTAGAGGACAAAATCCCCCCCCCCCCCCTAAAACAGGATATCAGGGCCAGTGCCCAGGGAGACCAGCTGATTCTACAGGAAATTAAAACTTTTAGATATCAAGGAGCAGCATCCATTGTAAATTATATTATCAACACTTGAAACAGCTTAAAATATTTTGACTTTAATATCACTTTAAGTCGATCATTAGAAACATGCTGGAAAATCCTCTGCCGAACTGCGCTGGCATCTGGCGCTGCTGTCAGAATACAAAACACACACAGGGAGATTCCTCAATCCACACTGTTTAGCGTGGATGATGGAATCTCTTATATTTTTTTCGTTCAGGCCGCAGGTTGAATAACAAAAAATATAACCGTGTTTACCATACGATAGCAGCTGTGAAAATTCTGTGCAATAATCAACTTTTTCTTCAGAAGCTTGACCTGTCATGGCTGTGTACAGAAAGTCTGTGCAGATACCATGATTGACCAAGATCAAGATTCACTCAAAATAAACAGGTCCAAGTGCATTACTCATCAGTCGGCCTCAGCTAGCTATTCATTCTTCTACGGCTAATAAATACAGTATGTGAAAAAACTGCAATGATGTATATAGAAGTATATAGGTGTATATAGGTGTTCTCTTACTAAACCTTTGTACACATCATATACATTGGGTTTAATCCCATCTAGGGATAATCTAGGGGGAGCAACACTTTTCTGTCAGGGCTCAGTGGTTGCTATGCCACGGTTAAATCATTGCTCATTATCCATTCAGGACCATAGTACTAGACTATATCATTCCAGGGGATTCTTTTTAAAGTGACACTAAGCTTAGGAGTTAAATGTTAAAAATCCATTCAAGTCCCTTAACTATTAACAACATTGTATCTTATTTGTGTATCACTCGGCTGTAGATCCTCTATGAATTGGTGCTGACACTGTCCTTCCTTCTGGAGGGTGACTACTTTTGTTTCCCATGGTCCCTGTGTGCCATTCAGGTCTGGGAGCCATATACATATATTACTAAAGCTGAGTCTCCCAGACCTAAATGGCATTCGGGAGCTCCTGAATGCAATTTGGAAATTCGGATGCCCGATGCCATTCGGGTCTAGGAGATTCAGCTTTAGTATTAATATCTGTATATGGTTTTCTTGCAACAAATATTCAACGAAATGAACGAAAAATCGGATTTAGTCCGAATCCGAAACCTGAACCAAATTGACTTTCGGATCCGAATCCTGATTTCCGAAATAACGAAATATCCGAACTAACCAAATTTTTCCGCATCTTACATGTCTACTACAATCTCATGTTTAGTTTACTGATTTGTATTGAGATTGTAGTCCATCCCAGGAGTGAGCTTGGAGCGGTGACTACTTTACCAACCATTAATTGTTGCAGTGTGGCAGGGCACATTATCCTGCTGAAAGAGGTCACTGTCATCAGTGTATGCCGTTTCCATGAAGTGTCCATGGTGGACTACATTCTCTCATTTATTTTACTAATTTGTATTGAGATTGTTGACCATCACAGGAGCGAGCTTCGAGTGGAACAAAAGTATCCCCCCTCCAGAAGGAAGGACAGTGTCAGCACCAATTCAGAAGATGATTTGAGGATCTCCTGTGATGGACCTCAATCTCAATACAAATTAGTAAACTAGACATGAGATTGTAGTCTATCACAGGAGTGAGCTTGGAGCCGTGACTACTTTACAACACAGACAGGGACCATGGGGAACAAAGATAAGATACGTTGTTGTGCATAGTTAAGGGACTTGAATGCATTTTTAGGCTGTAACTCCTGAGTTTAGTGTCACTGTAAATTATAATATAACAATCATGTTCAATATGTTGTGTGTATCACAGCAAGAGACCTGAGCTATGGAAATTTACCAGAACCAGATGAAATCTGGTATACTCCATAGTTTGCTTTTTTTAAGAGACGTGTTAAACCTAAAATATACTTTTTTTAAATAATTGATGCATGCTCTGTTGACTTTCAGACTCTCTTGACTGCTTCCGATGTCCATGGGACCAATGGCCAAACAAAGAAAGAACAAAATGTCTCCAAAAGACCATAGAGTATCTCTCTTACGATGAACCATTGGGGACAACCTTAACTTCTGTCAGCGTTGCTTCTTCTTTGTTCCCAGTCGCGATCCTAAAGCTTTTAATCGATCATAAGTCCACCCCAATTGTCAAAGCCAGCAACTACTCTTTAAGCTGCCTTCTTCTGGTTTGCTTATCCTTATGTTTCCTTTGCCCTTTGGTTTTTATTGGTTATCCCCAACCACTGAATTGTCTTCTCCGCCAAGCTACCTTCGGGATTGTTTTCTCTCTTTGTATCTCCTGTGTCTTATCCAAAACGATAATGGTTGTGTTGGCTTTCTTGGCCACCAGGCCAAGCAGCGCCCTTAAGAAATTCACCAGCCACAATTTTTCTTACACAATCATTTGCGTAGTCTTCCTCATACAATTTATAGTTTGCCTGCTGTGGTTGTCCCTTACACCTCCCTTTCCGCAGTACAATATTAATACCCACCCTGGGGTTATAATAATTGAGTGCAATGAAGGATCAACCTTTGCTTTTTGGGTCATGTTGGCATATCTTGGTCTGCTAGCCTTCAGCAGCTTTGTTGGAGCATTTCTATCTCGAAGACTTCCTGACGTCTATAACGAGGCCTCATATATTACCTTCAGCATGCTGACCTTCCTTAGTGTCTGGGTCTCCTATATCCCAGCATCCCTCAGTTCTCAGGGCAAATACATTGTGGCCATGGAAGTTTTTGCAATGTTATTCTCCAGCTGGGCACTGGTCATTTTTATGTTCCTTCCTAAATGTTTCATCATGCTTTTCCGACCCTCTATGAACTCCAGAGAATATTTAAAGATGAAGGGAGTAAATCAAGCACATGATGCAAAAACATTTTAAACTGGGAATGCAAATTAAAAAACGTGTTGAATGTTGTACTTGCTTTGGCCCTCATGAAAACTAAAATACTATCTAAGTCCATTGACTTTTCTGTAAATCAAATCAAGATCGTTCATTGGTCCTGACATTGTTTTCCCCATACTAGCCCACCTGGCCCCCAAATTGTGTCCTTTGCATCTTCTAAGGGTTATTAATGGGATTTCCACTGCAAAGTTAGTTGCATCCTGTTAGTATTTTTAACATTTTTAATGCTTGCGATTGTCATGTTGTTAATGAGACTGTATAGCATTCTGTAAATATTTTCATTATTAATGTATTGTGGTCAGAATTTAAAATGAAAAAATAAAAAGATGCAAACATTGCACATTGATATCATATATGTTCCTGTCTAGACAGGTTGAGCTCTCAGGCCATTTTCATATGTTTTTAGGTTTCTCCTTACCCCCTGAGGGAAAAAAAAGGCAAATGTTTACAGAGCTCAATAGCCCAAATAAATTGGAGTTAGAGCAGTGACTCCTCCCCTTTGTACAGACATACAGATTTCAAGTCTTAGTCAGGCAGAGGTTGCCTTTGCTGTGATGTCTCTGTAGAACATCTATAGATTACTTGCAATCCTTTGTTAACTTGCCCCTCCCCCGTTCTGCCCTAACATTGACTAGTCGCTGACGGTCACAATTTGCCCGTTCAGACCCAGATTTTCGGCTGACAGTCCGGTCTTTAAACACCTTAACAACAGCTGCTCTTGAACATTTAACGCATTCTGCTGTTTTGCTGATACTCGCTCCATGGCTCCGAGCGCCAACAATCATCCCAAGACTGTTAAATCGTGTTGTTTACCCGTATCTTCAGAAAAAAACCTGCTTCCCTATTTATAATGGTCTGGCCCTATAGCAACTTCTGCGCGAAATTATAGCTAACTATAGCTAATTTGCCTACAAACGTCAGGTGGTCATAATAATCTGGCCACTCAGTGTATAT